CATCCAAAAGACAAACAACAACAAATGTTGGCGAAGTTGTGGAGAAAGGGGAACCCTCCTACACTGCTGGTGGGAATGTAAATTAGTTCAACCATTGTGGAAAGCAGTATGGAGGTTCCTCAAAAAACTCAAACTAGAAATACCATTTGACCTAGGAATTTCACTCCTACGAATTTACCCTAAGAATGTAGCTGCCCTGTTTGAAGAAGACAGATGCACCCCTATGTTTATCGCAGCACTATTTACAATAGCCAAGAAATGGAGGCAACCTAAGTGTCCATCAGTAGATGAATGGATAAAGAAGGTGTGGTACATATACACAATGGAATATTATTCAGCCATAAGAAAAAAACAGATCCTACCATTTGCAACAACATGGATGGAGTTAGAGGGTATTATGCTCAGTGAAATAAGCTAGCCAGAGAAAGTCAAGTACCAAATGATTTCACTCATATGTGGAATATAAGAACAAAGGGAAAACTGAAGGAACAAAACAGCAGCAGAATCACAGAACCCAAGAAAGGACTAACAGTTACCAAAGGCGTAGGGACCTGGGAGGATGGGTGGGAAGGGAGGGATAAGGGGGGGGAAATAGAAAGGAGGCCTTATGATTAGCATGTATGATATGGGTGGAGGCTTAGGGAGTGATGTGCAATGCAGAGAAGACAAGTAGTGACTGTATATCATGTTACTACGCTGATGGACAGTGACTGTAATGGGGTTTGTAGCAGGGCGTTGGTGAAGGGGGAAGCTTAGTAAATATAATATTCTTCATGTAATTATTGTATCATGTAGATTAATGATAACAAAATGAATTAAAAAAAAAGAAAACAGAGTCATATAAAATATTCAGTTAAAACCCAAAATACTGAAAAAGAGTGGGAGAGAAAACTAGGAACAAATAACAAGGGTAACAACTAGGAAATAGTAACAAATATGGTAGATATTAATCCAGGTATATCTGTAATTACTTTGAAGATCAGTGTTCTAAAAGAACCAGTTAAAAGGCTGATTGTCAGAGTGGATCAGAAAATAAGACCCAACTATATGTTGTTAAGGAGAAACTCAGTTTTTATGTAAAGATACATATAGGTTAACAGTAAATTGATGGAGAAAAGATATGAATTACATAATGATAAAGGGGTCAGTTCTCCAAGAAAACATACAGTCCTTAATGTGCATGTGCCTAACAACATAATGTCAAAATGCTGACAGAACTGCAAAAACTGATAGAATTGCAAGGAGAAATAGATGAATCTTATATTAGAGTTGATGACTTAATAGTTCCTCTCCCCTTCTCCCTACTCCCAGTCAAAAATGGACAAATCCAGCAGAAAGAAAATCAGTAAAGGCATAGTTGAACTTAATAATACCATCAATCAGCTAGACATTATGAGTATCTATAGACTACTTCATCCCACGACAGTAGAATACACATTTTTCTCAAGTCATATGAAACATTCAACAAGATAGACCACATTCTAAACCATGTATTACACTTTCATAAATTTAAAGGAAGAGAAATCATATAATGTCTACTTTGAGACCATAATGGAATTAAACTAGAAATCAGTGATAGGAAGATAGCTGGAAAATTCCCAGATACTTGGATATCGAACAACACACTTCTAAATGACAAATGGATCAAAGAAAAAAACTCAAGAAAAATAAAAATATATGAACTAAATGAAAATGAAAATAAAACTATCAAAATTTGTGAGATGCAAGAAAAACAGGGCTCAGAGGGAAACTTATAGCTTTGAATGCATTTTTTAGAAAAGAAGAACAAAAATCAATCATCTAAGCTTCCACCTAGGACAATAGGAAAAGAAGATGATATCAGGTCCAAAGTAAACAGAAAAAAAGAAATAATAAAAATTAGAGCAGGAGTCAATGAAAATGAAAGCATTAAATCAGTATTGAAGAAATCCACATAATTAAAAGCTGGTTCTTTGAAAATACCAATAAAATCAATAAACCTCTAACTATCTCTAGCCAGGCCAACTAACAACAAAAAAAGTGCAGGTACAAATTACTAATATCACAAGTGAAAGAGAGGACATCATTTTGTATTCCATGCATATTAAGTGGATAATGAAGGAATACTATGAACAACTCTGTGCCCACAAATTTGATAACCTAGGATAAATGGGCCAATCACATGAAGGGCACAATCTGCTAAAACTTATAAAAGGAGATACAGAAAATGTGAGTAGGCACATATCTATTAAAGTATTAATAATTTTCCAAAACAAAGTACCAGAGTCAAATGGCTTCAGGCTTAGAAGGCTTCACTGGTGAAGTCTATTCAACATTTAAGAGAGAAATTATATCAATTTTCTTTAAATTTTTTCTTTCAGTAAAAGGAACAGAGGGAGACTTCCTAACTCATTCTATGAGGACAGCCTAGTACCTAACAACAAAACCAAAGACATGAGGAGAAAAGAAAAGTACAGACCAATATTTCTCATGAACATAGATGCAAAAATCCTTAAATTATTTGGTAATTGAATCCAACAATGTGCAAAAAGAATTATATTCCATGACTAAATGTGGTTTATCTCAGATATACAAACTTGATTCAGCATTTGAAAATCAGTTAATGGAATCTGTCACATCAACAGACTAAAAAAGGAAAATCACATGAGCATAGGAATAGATGGAGAAAAAGTATTTGACGAAATTCAGCACCCATTAGTGATAAAAACTCTCAGTAAACTAGTAATAGAGGGGAACTTCCCTAACTTGATAAAGATTATCTACCAAAGACCTACAGATAAGATATTTATTGATGAGAAACATGAAGCTTCCCCACTAAGATCAGGAGCAAAGCAAGGATATCTCCTCTTACCACCATTTTTTAATGCCATACTGGATATCTTAGCTAATGCAGTAGGACAGGAAAAGCAATAAAAGATATAGTGATTGGGAGGAAAGAAATAAAGCAATCTTTGTTCAAAGATGACATTATTGTCTATGTGGAAAATCCAAGAGAATCAACAGCAAACTCTTAGAACTAAGTGATTGTGCCAAGATTGCAGGATACAGTGTTAACATACAAAAGTCAATCTCTTTTGTGGATACCAGCAATGAACAAATGGAATATGAAATTAAAAAAGAACACCATATACATTAGCATCTTCAAAAATGAAAGAGGTATAAATCTAACAAAGTACATACAAGATCTGTAGAAGGCAAATGATAGAACTCTGATGAGAGAAATCAAAGATGAACTAGTTGGAGAGATATCCCATATCCATGTATGAGAAGACTCAATATTTTGAAGATGTTAGTTCTTCCAAATGGCTTTATAGATTCAACACAATCCCAGTCAAAAGTCCCAGCAAGTTATTTTGTGGATATTGATAAACTGACTCTAAAGTTCACTGGAGAGGAAAAAGGCCTAGAATGAGCCAACAGAATACTGAAGAACAAAGTTGGAGAAGTGATAGTACCTAATTTTAAGACTTCTTATAAAGACACAGTAATCAATTTGTGAAAGATAGTAGAAAAATAGACAAGTAGACAAACAGATCAGTGGAATAAAATAGAGACCCCAGAAACAGACCCACATAAGTATAGTCAATTGATCTTTTGCAAAGGGGCAAAGTCACAGCAGGGAAAGAAACAGCATTTTCAACGGATGGTGCTGGAAAGTGGATATCAATATGCAAAAAATGAATCTAGACACAAACCTTACACCCATCACAAAAATTAACTCAAAATGGATCACAGACTTAAATGGAAAACATAAACTGTAAAGCTCCTAGAGGATACATAGGAAGAAATCTATATGACTTTGGGTATAAGGAGACTTTTTAGGTACAGTAACAAAGGCACAATCCATGAAATAAATCGTTGATAAGCTGGACTTCATCAAAATTAAAAACTTCTACTCTGTAAAATGCTATGTCAAAAGAATGAGGAGATGAGCCATAGAGTGGGTGAAAATATTTGCCAAAGACATATCTGATAAAGAACTGTTACCTAAGATATACAAAGAACTCTTAAAAGTCCACTAAGAAAATAATCTGATTTCAATAATCTGGTTTCAAATTATAGCACAGTGGTTCAACAGTTACCCATATTATTAAATTCTCCTCCCTACTAGTGTAAATACTGTCAACGAAGAGAGATGTTACAGAATCATTGGCTATATTCTCCATGCTGTACTACTATCCCCGTAAGTGAAGTTTTTTTTTTTTAAGGGAATGATTCTAACTCATTCATACCTAAATCACAGTTGTTGATAATTCTATTTACACATTGTCATCCTTCCTGCCATCAAGAACATCAGTGATACAGAGTTTGTTAAAAATGGGCTCTGCAATTTTCTTCCAAGTTTACACCCCTTTTGCAAGTTTTTGATGCGTCTGATTGCTTAGTCTTTTCAGAAGGTATATTAGAAATTTTTCATATACCATTTAGGACTCTTATTTTTTCCTTAAATGCTATTTAAATGGCTTTTTGACTGTAGAGTCAAGTATTTGAGTTTGTCTAGTCTTTTGTAGAAATAATAACCAAGTCCATGCATGTGTGTGGTGACTGTTGTGATTGCTGCCTGGCCAACAATGATGGTTAGTTGCATCTTCTTTTCAGAAATGTTACAGTGTCCAAAAAAAGGAATCATGTTAGAAATGGTGAATTATGACAACTCAAAGTTACTCTGTGTAATTAAAACAAATATTTAAATTAGCTTTTTTATTAGAGAAAATTTTTCTGTACACTGCAAATTAATATATTGAGCTCTAAAACTTAGATGATAGCACACTATTTCTTGATATGTTCTTTTTAAGAAATATTTTTCTTTTTTAATATGCTATTGAATTTATCACTAATTTCTAAACTAATTTTTATTTTATTGTCTGTAACTGTATTAAAGAGCAACTCTGACACAGAGTAATAAAATGCACATCAATTACTGCTTTGGAACTTAAGTTCTTGACCAATGTAAATTTAAGCGTTTAAAATTTGTTTTTGCATTTCTTTTTTTTTGACAGGTTACAAAGACAGAACTAGAGAAATTAAAATCCAGCTATAGACAATTAATAAAAGAAATGAATTCTGCCAAAGAGAAATATAAGGAAGCGTTAGCTAAAGGTATGGCAAAATTATGAAGAATGCTTATTTTAGTGATTTTTATTCCTATCATTTGAAAGTTATATGTAGTGGAATGATTCCACTTAGACCAACTCACATTTTTAAAAATATTAAAGTAAGCCAAAATAGACTAATTTTTAAACCATGTAATGTCTTTCTAAGTTTTTGTTTTTAAAAATGATGCAGTCTTTTAAAATTATTTTTGTCTTTGTTTTATACATAAGAAAGAGGACACTGAGACCTCAATATTTTGATTAGTTCATTAGTATGTTTGAATAGTTCATACTAAATGGAATTATATAGCACTTCTGATAGAATGAAGGAATGTGTAAAGTTTTCTCTCTAGCATCTGATTTACTTATTTAATTATTGAGTACTAAATAAGAAAAATAAGGTTGTATTTGCTTAGAAGTCTTTTAAAATCTCCCTTTTATCTGAAGTATTTAAAAGCCATTAAAACTGCAACACCATTTTATAGCATTATTTTGCTTTGTTCGCTTAGTTTTGTGTGTCTGTACTGTCCTCAAGTTTTCGTAAGAATCTTTGGAAGTAAATGGAAAGTGAGGCCTATTATTTATGTCTCAAACAGAGATTTATGGCTATAGTTTTAAAATATGACTAAGTGGTCTTCATATTTAGATTTTTTTTATATTATAGAAGTTGTAGTTTTTTACAAAAAATGTCTGCCTGACAAAATATAACCTTTCTTAGAAACTCTATTTTCTTTTGATTATTAAATTTACGTTTCTCTTTGTCTTTTACTTGTTATATATTGTTATTTTGTAGAGATAAATGAAGTAAATAGCTCATGTATTTGGATCTGTTTTTCACAGTGAAAAGGCTGCGTTTCTGTTATTATTCCCGGGAGACTAGAAGAGATACTGATTTAGATGCAGTGCCCTCTTCCCCCTTCCTTCTTCCCTTTCTGTCTCTTTTCCCTCTCTTCTTCCTGTTTCTCCTCTGTGTTCCTCAGTCTCCTTCCTTCTATTCGTTCCTTCCTTTCCTTCCCTTGCTCTCCTTATAGTTCCTCTCCCCTTCTCCCTACTCCCAGTCAAAAATGGACAAATCCAGCAGAAAGAAAATCAGTAAAGGCATAGTTGAACTTAATAATACCATCAATCAGCTAGACATTATGAGTATCTATAGACTACTTCATCCCACGACAGTAGAATACACATTTTTCTCAAGTCATATGAAACATTCAACAAGATAGACCACATTCTAAACCATGTATTACACTTTCATAAATTTAAAGGAAGAGAAATCATATAATGTCTACTTTGAGACCATAATGGAATTAAACTAGAAATCAGTGATAGGAAGATAGCTGGAAAATTCCCAGATACTTGGATATCGAACAACACACTTCTAAATGACAAATGGATCAAAGAAAAAAACTCAAGAAAAATAAAAATATATGAACTAAATGAAAATGAAAATAAAACTATCAAAATTTGTGAGATGCAAGAAAAACAGGGCTCAGAGGGAAACTTATAGCTTTGAATGCATTTTTTAGAAAAGAAGAACAAAAATCAATCATCTAAGCTTCCACCTAGGACAATAGGAAAAGAAGATGATATCAGGTCCAAAGTAAACAGAAAAAAAGAAATAATAAAAATTAGAGCAGGAGTCAATGAAAATGAAAGCATTAAATCAGTATTGAAGAAATCCACATAATTAAAAGCTGGTTCTTTGAAAATACCAATAAAATCAATAAACCTCTAACTATCTCTAGCCAGGCCAACTAACAACAAAAAAAGTGCAGGTACAAATTACTAATATCACAAGTGAAAGAGAGGACATCATTTTGTATTCCATGCATATTAAGTGGATAATGAAGGAATACTATGAACAACTCTGTGCCCACAAATTTGATAACCTAGGATAAATGGGCCAATCACATGAAGGGCACAATCTGCTAAAACTTATAAAAGGAGATACAGAAAATGTGAGTAGGCACATATCTATTAAAGTATTAATAATTTTCCAAAACAAAGTACCAGAGTCAAATGGCTTCAGGCTTAGAAGGCTTCACTGGTGAAGTCTATTCAACATTTAAGAGAGAAATTATATCAATTTTCTTTAAATTTTTTCTTTCAGTAAAAGGAACAGAGGGAGACTTCCTAACTCATTCTATGAGGACAGCCTAGTACCTAACAACAAAACCAAAGACATGAGGAGAAAAGAAAAGTACAGACCAATATTTCTCATGAACATAGATGCAAAAATCCTTAAATTATTTGGTAATTGAATCCAACAATGTGCAAAAAGAATTATATTCCATGACTAAATGTGGTTTATCTCAGATATACAAACTTGATTCAGCATTTGAAAATCAGTTAATGGAATCTGTCACATCAACAGACTAAAAAAGGAAAATCACATGAGCATAGGAATAGATGGAGAAAAAGTATTTGACGAAATTCAGCACCCATTAGTGATAAAAACTCTCAGTAAACTAGTAATAGAGGGGAACTTCCCTAACTTGATAAAGATTATCTACCAAAGACCTACAGATAAGATATTTATTGATGAGAAACATGAAGCTTCCCCACTAAGATCAGGAGCAAAGCAAGGATATCTCCTCTTACCACCATTTTTTAATGCCATACTGGATATCTTAGCTAATGCAGTAGGACAGGAAAAGCAATAAAAGATATAGTGATTGGGAGGAAAGAAATAAAGCAATCTTTGTTCAAAGATGACATTATTGTCTATGTGGAAAATCCAAGAGAATCAACAGCAAACTCTTAGAACTAAGTGATTGTGCCAAGATTGCAGGATACAGTGTTAACATACAAAAGTCAATCTCTTTTGTGGATACCAGCAATGAACAAATGGAATATGAAATTAAAAAAGAACACCATATACATTAGCATCTTCAAAAATGAAAGAGGTATAAATCTAACAAAGTACATACAAGATCTGTAGAAGGCAAATGATAGAACTCTGATGAGAGAAATCAAAGATGAACTAGTTGGAGAGATATCCCATATCCATGTATGAGAAGACTCAATATTTTGAAGATGTTAGTTCTTCCAAATGGCTTTATAGATTCAACACAATCCCAGTCAAAAGTCCCAGCAAGTTATTTTGTGGATATTGATAAACTGACTCTAAAGTTCACTGGAGAGGAAAAAGGCCTAGAATGAGCCAACAGAATACTGAAGAACAAAGTTGGAGAAGTGATAGTACCTAATTTTAAGACTTCTTATAAAGACACAGTAATCAATTTGTGAAAGATAGTAGAAAAATAGACAAGTAGACAAACAGATCAGTGGAATAAAATAGAGACCCCAGAAACAGACCCACATAAGTATAGTCAATTGATCTTTTGCAAAGGGGCAAAGTCACAGCAGGGAAAGAAACAGCATTTTCAACGGATGGTGCTGGAAAGTGGATATCAATATGCAAAAAATGAATCTAGACACAAACCTTACACCCATCACAAAAATTAACTCAAAATGGATCACAGACTTAAATGGAAAACATAAACTGTAAAGCTCCTAGAGGATACATAGGAAGAAATCTATATGACTTTGGGTATAAGGAGACTTTTTAGGTACAGTAACAAAGGCACAATCCATGAAATAAATCGTTGATAAGCTGGACTTCATCAAAATTAAAAACTTCTACTCTGTAAAATGCTATGTCAAAAGAATGAGGAGATGAGCCATAGAGTGGGTGAAAATATTTGCCAAAGACATATCTGATAAAGAACTGTTACCTAAGATATACAAAGAACTCTTAAAAGTCCACTAAGAAAATAATCTGATTTCAATAATCTGGTTTCAAATTATAGCACAGTGGTTCAACAGTTACCCATATTATTAAATTCTCCTCCCTACTAGTGTAAATACTGTCAACGAAGAGAGATGTTACAGAATCATTGGCTATATTCTCCATGCTGTACTACTATCCCCGTAAGTGAGGTTTTTTTTTTTTAAGGGAATGATTCTAACTCATTCATACCTAAATCACAGTTGTTGATAATTCTATTTACACATTGTCATCCTTCCTGCCATCAAGAACATCAGTGATACAGAGTTTGTTAAAAATGGGCTCTGCAATTTTCTTCCAAGTTTACACCCCTTTTGCAAGTTTTTGATGCGTCTGATTGCTTAGTCTTTTCAGAAGGTATATTAGAAATTTTTCATATACCATTTAGGACTCTTATTTTTTCCTTAAATGCTATTTAAATGGCTTTTTGACTGTAGAGTCAAGTATTTGAGTTTGTCTAGTCTTTTGTAGAAATAATAACCAAGTCCATGCATGTGTGTGGTGACTGTTGTGATTGCTGCCTGGCCAACAATGATGGTTAGTTGCATCTTCTTTTCAGAAATGTTACAGTGTCCAAAAAAAGGAATCATGTTAGAAATGGTGAATTATGACAACTCAAAGTTACTCTGTGTAATTAAAACAAATATTTAAATTAGCTTTTTTATTAGAGAAAATTTTTCTGTACACTGCAAATTAATATATTGAGCTCTAAAACTTAGATGATAGCACACTATTTCTTGATATGTTCTTTTTAAGAAATATTTTTCTTTTTTAATATGCTATTGAATTTATCACTAATTTCTAAACTAATTTTTATTTTATTGTCTGTAACTGTATTAAAGAGCAACTCTGACACAGAGTAATAAAATGCACATCAATTACTGCTTTGGAACTTAAGTTCTTGACCAATGTAAATTTAAGCGTTTAAAATTTGTTTTTGCATTTCTTTTTTTTTGACAGGTTACAAAGACAGAACTAGAGAAATTAAAATCCAGCTATAGACAATTAATAAAAGAAATGAATTCTGCCAAAGAGAAATATAAGGAAGCGTTAGCTAAAGGTATGGCAAAATTATGAAGAATGCTTATTTTAGTGATTTTTATTCCTATCATTTGAAAGTTATATGTAGTGGAATGATTCCACTTAGACCAACTCACATTTTTAAAAATATTAAAGTAAGCCAAAATAGACTAATTTTTAAACCATGTAATGTCTTTCTA